GGCTGACGATACACCAAATCTGGACGTATACTTACTAGTACTACAGTAAGCTCAGAAGGTCCAGACTGGATCTGCAAACTGTGGAAGAATTTTACAATGCAAAGTTTGTCGTCACCTAAAGGCCCATTCATGCTTCTGCGTGTTTCGTCTTTTTGGCCCTCGTTACAATGTCTTCTCCCGCGGTGACGGTGTACATGACGTTCGCCATGTGCAGCTACATGATGACCTATCCATTTTGTTAGTAAGATATTGAAAATGTGTTTCTTTAAGTACTCAATCCACTGATGCAGTTTCTATTTTAAATTCTAGATCATTTTTATATTGGAGGATTTCACATATAAAAAGTTTCTGGCTAAATTCCGGCTTTCATAGACAATAACAAAATAAAAATTCATACAAAAATCTGTACAATTTTCAACGTCTCTCCATAGATGGCAGTGTTACCAGTCCTTTGTCAGAACAGGTATTTTCGACAGGAGTCGGACCCACAGCGACACTCCACTCGGATCCTCTTCTTCGGGGAGCCGGGGAGCCCCGCCAGGTTGAAGCTGGAGTCCATCTTGGTGCTCTCCGTGTCCACCGGGTCAACTGCAGACAAACACAGGGCAGGATGGAGAGGGCTCAGAAGAGAAGCCAGCAACTTTCTATACTATGCCCTTCACCAAATGTTTCTCCTGCATTCTGGTATGTTACCATTTAAACCATTGTTCTTTGTCAAGTTTGATCTTTGAAACCTAAGGAAAACAGAACAAAACTCTAGCCTGGCCTATGGCCTTTTCCTGCGTAAGGTTCACTGCCTGGTGCTTTAGCCGGAGTTGGATTTTTAAGTTTTTATTTTATTATGTTTGCTTTTTGTTTAGGGACATAAATAGCATATATGCTGATAGGCTTGTTCCTCATCATGGAATGACCATAACCACTAAATGTTTGATGATTGGATAAATCATGTAAAAGCATGTAATTCTAAGCCACATCTTTGGCAGATGTTTTGAGTATCTCGTTTTAAGGTCTTGCTTATTTCTACCAAAAATGTGTATCCCCCTCCTTGCTATATACTATATTTGGTGTTGACGAGTCAAAATATCAATTTCCCATTGTACAATTTAGTAAAACATCTAGTTCGGCAGACTTTAGAGCTTCTTGATGCTTTTTGTAGATCCCGTTTAGTTGGATATGTGTGGCAATTTTGAGTCAGTTACACTCAAAGGCCTTATGAAAAACACATTTTTGGTGGTTGATTACAACTGAGATTCTTTAAAAATAAAACACTTTCTACATGTAACTGCTCACAACAAGGTCAGTGTATCTTCTTGAGTAATCGGGTGATGATTTCTGCAAAGACACATTGCTGTTGAAATTTTCTGTACATTTTTTTTCCTTTCCTTCAGAGATGGTAGCTCACAATAAACTGTTCTGATAATTAGCCCTGCAGGCAGAGAAATAACTGTTAATTTGGTTTTGTGGCGAGATGGCCCCTAAAGATGATTTTGGAGACAGTGTTAATTAAAACTAAATCAGCGGCCCTTACTCTGCATCTTGTAGTCAAAGGTGAGCTCCTCTCCGCTCCGGATAGCTCGTGTTGAGAATAAAGCGATTCTTGGGAGCCTCTCATCAATGTTGTTGATGAACACATTAAATACCTGCAGGTTGGGGTTACACTGCAGAAAGAACACAACTTGTGTCAGGAGATTTTCTGAATCTGCTTAACTATAGCAGACATCAAAATAAACTTTAAGTTTCCAAATAATAAAAATACATTTCATGTATATAGCGCTTATCGAGGTACTCAAAGTAGCCTAATATTAGGGGTGTAACGGTTCACAAACATTTCGGTTCGGTACGTACCGCGGTTTTTAGGTACGTTTTCGGTACAGCAGAAAAAATTATCACAAAACATAACTTATTTTTTGTTTTTTCTTAATTATTATTAAACTGTGAATAATGTATTCACTCAAATAAATACAAAATACAATAAAATAAACATTGAGGTGCAGCATTTCGATGAACTGAAATAATCTGTATTTCAACTTTACTGTACTAGTACTCACAAAACATAAACTATTAGTTTTGGGTTTTTAATTATTATTAAACTGTGAATATTCACTCAAATAAATACAAAATATAATAAAATCAACATTAAGGTGCAGCATTTCGATGAACTGAAATAATCTGTATTTGAACTTTACTGTACTAGTACTCACAAAACATAAACTACCGTAATTTTCGGACTATAAGCCGCGCCTTTTTTCCCATTTTTCGACGCTGCGGCTTATATAACGGTGCGGCTAATCTATGGATTTTTACAGCTAACGGCCACCACCTTTAACTCTATGGGCTCTATGGCCGGTCCGCGCCCCCCAACTTTAAGCGGCGGGTTCCAGCAGGAAAAGCTGGAGGCCGGAAAAGAGTGAGACAGGTAGCGCGCAAAAGTAAAAGTGGAACCGAGAGTGGTACGAGAGACAGAACGAGAGCAAGACAGACAGACATTACGAGAGCGAGACAGTTTGTCCCCGTACCACTGGTTGAAAACCGCTGCTGTAGATCACTGCCGGTACGTGCGCTGGGAGCGCACCGTTTAAGTTTGAAAGTTGAAAAGTTTGTGTGTCTGAAACGCTATGTGATACAGTACAGTTTACACAGCACAGTACATGTTATGTAGCTACTATTGCACTAAATGGTAACACTTGAATACGTTATGCAAATATGCAACTTGTTTGTTGAAATGTTAATAAATGGGAGCTTCCTCAAACAGCCATCTCTTTCCCGACAATCCCCTCTGTGCACGAACCCTTACATATGGTAATTAAACATTAAAACACCTGCGGCTTATAGTCCAGTGCGGTTTA